TGTGTCTGGTCGACATACCATGCATGAATATGGGGGTCTGGGGGCATACTCCCCCGGAAATGCAATTTCCTGCATTCCGAGCGTCCAAATTTGCTCTAAAATTGATGCTAACTATACTTGTATTTGAAATAAAAGAAGGAAAAAACGAACAAAATGTTTAAAAAAATATTAACCAATGCCCCAGCCTGTGGGGCTTTCAGAACCTTTTAAACCAAATTGAATAAAAAAATGCAATACTGCAACCAAGTGAAGAAATATTGAAAATATCACAAACAAATGTCCAGAAAAAGTGTGTGGTCAAAGCACTGTGCCGAAGTCAGTATAATGAGGGCTAGATGAAGTATATACCTCAAATCCATGGTCAAATCCCCGCCAAAAGCCCTGGTAATTCTAAACGGACATCTAAACGAAGCAAATGCCCCGCTCATAGGGTCATTAATAAACTGCAAATGTCCCGCTAACCCCCGCATAGCCCCGGGGTTAGGGGGGGGGGGTTACATTGACTAGTGCATAAGCATGATTTGTAAAATAACTGGATAGGAAACTTCCTGACGTCATCCTTGTTGAAAGACATGACGTCATGCATATTGCGAATATTACCAAAGTTCTCGTTTTGTTGTTTTGCTATATTTTCCACTTTAAAAGGGTGATATTGAAGCATAAACTGGTCTAATTGTTTAAACCACGACAAAGTATTCAAGGTAAATGTTTTTCATCTTTGTTTTCTATTTTTTTACACTTGTAGCTACAAAATTGGGGTTACAAATTTTAACGAAATTTGCGATGTATTTTTCACTGTTTAGTGCTTGAAATATTTGCTAAAATTGACTGGAATACTTAGAGTTTTCATCGTAGAATGGCGTGGTTATATGTATTTGCTTTTTGACTAAAATGTTTAGCTGTATTATTGCTAAACATGCCGTTTTTGAGAATTTGGTTTGCAACTAGGTTTGGACATCCAACCATAGAATAAAGATCCATATAGAAGGTGGACTTGAATAACTTAATTCTTGCACTTCACTGGGTGGAATTAATATTAGAATGTTAGGGTTGTAATGCAAGTGAGAATATATACATTTTAAGACCTAACCAGGAACGACTGCAAAAAATGCAGCACAAGGTCCTCTGGTAGGAATTGAACCCACACATTTTTTGCAGTCGTTCCTAGTTAGGTCTTAAAATGTATATATTCTCACTTGGATTACAACCCTAACATCCTAATATTAATTCCACCAAGTGAAGTGCAAGAATTAAGTTATTCAAGTCCACCTTATCACAACCCATACACCCGATTACCTATATATACATGAACTTACGGTTACAGCTCAACAGCTGGCCTCTGTAGCTCAGTTGGTTAGAGCGCTGCACCGGAATCGCAGGGCCGTGGGTTCAATTGCTGCATTTTCCGTATAGAAGGGCCACTTACGTCGGAAGCTTTGAAGTTTCTGTCCTCGCACATGTCGCATGTTGGCCGCCATTTTCCTAGCCAGACTAAGCCAGTCAATCACATTTTCTGGCCAATAAACACGCTGTACTGGCTGGCTGCTCTGCTTTCTGGCCAGTAAACTGCATATTTTTGCATAAAAAATGCGGACATGTTGCACTGCTGAATGGCCCTTCTGTTACTGATCTTTATTCTGTGATCCAACCATGCCATCAGCCCATTGAAAACATTAGGTCATGTCAGCTAGTTTTCTATCCATTTATTTTATTATCCATGGTATAAGTAATGGACAATAATGACCTTAATATATGTAAATCAAATTGTACAATAATATGTCAGAAAAATATGACACATAGGTGTAGACTATTTATCCTTGACCCATATTACCATTAATTAAGTAGAATATACTGATATTTCATTGTGGTATGATAATATTAATAATAATAGGTCTATGCATGGCCATATGCATGTAATCTTGAAATTTAATAATTAGTGCATTTATTAGCCAAATGAGGAATCTTTATTATTTTATTCTGTTTTACAAGAGTCTATCAAATGTTGTGTGCTTGAAACTTTAAACATACATTTTTTGACTTGGCAAGCATTCCAAGTACAAAGATAGGACTTCACAAACACATATCCATCATATGTGAACATTTCAATGGAACAAATATTCATATTTACATGTAATTATTAGACCATTGCATTGAAGATGTATGGCACTCCCAAACTGCTATTTGTTTGGGATGTTGCATTCATTTTGCGCACCCTGCCTATTAGGCCAAATAAAAAAAAACTTGGTTAGTGTCACACTCTCACAAATTTTCAGAGGCGGGTGGCACTTTCTTAAAAATTTTTACTCGTTTTTAATTTTTAATAGTATTTTTTTGGGGGGATGGGGACGGTTTTTCCACCATATCTGTGACATTTTTTGTACTGATGTTGCAAAGGCCACCTTTTTGCTATAAGAACCCAAGCACTCCTATTGATCAGTATATAGCATGAAAGTCTGAGCATGAGAAAAATTTCAAATATTAAACTGTTTTAAGCTGTAAAACGAAGAGATTTACATAAAAAAATTTAACAAACGTCAGAGGTGGCAGAAATCGAGAGGCGGGTGGTGACGCTAACCAAGTTTTTTTATTTGGCTTTAGACTTGGTTCAAGTCTGTCTCGCCCCCAAGAGACGGACTTGAACCGAGTCTACCTGCCTATAGATGACCTAATATGATTCCTACAGGTCAAACATTTGGTATCGACCAATTCCAATGGGTCATATATTGCTTTGTATTGGCAAAATTTATCATGTATGTCCAAGAGGGTATACCTTGAGAATTAATGGGTTTCATTAATGATACAAGACAGAAAAAGATAGATTATGTGCCTCAACTCAAAGTATTTGATCAGAGCTCCAAAATGATGCTACCACTAGACAGGAAAAATACACTGAAATACCTTGGTCTGATGATTGATTCCAATTTATCTTGGAAATCTCATATTGATTACATCTCCCTTAAGCTAAGTCGGATTGTTGGAATCATAGCTAGAGATTTAGACATTTTACTCCTAAGCATACCTTGGAAAGGATTTATTATGCTTTAGTGCAGCCATATTTGACATATGGTTTACCTGTTTGGGGACAAGCTTGCAAAACAGATCTCAATCAACTTCTTGTGTTACAAAAACGAGTTGTTCGTTTAATAAACTTTGGAGGTTATAGAGATCATGTGATACCTTTCTTTATTAAATCAAATATTCTTCCACTAGATTTTCTTTATTTTTTAAATATTGCGTGCACTATGCATAACATTATTAATAATGAGTCACCTGTTAATATTGCGTCATTATTTAACAGCATAGCTGATTCACATAATTATAGCACTAGGTCTGCAGTTCGAGGCAATCTTTATCTACCTTCTTCAAGACTAAATGTCCAAGCTAAATCCTTTTCTAGAATTGGCGTAAAAGTGTGGAATAGTTTGCCACCTTCAGTTCGTAGACAGAGTAAATCCAGTTTTTCCAAAGGATGCCATAGTACACTTTTTTATGCTCTTTCTTCTTCTAGCGACTATATTGATCTTACCCAGATAATGCAAACAGTATCTGATACATTCATGTACTTTTTGTTCGACTCAGGTTTACTAATTTATCAATTGTTCAACAATTATTTGTATGAGTGCTTTTCATTTCAGGTTTACTACCTTCATTTAAATTTCATTAATAGTAAGATCGACTTTGGAGGTATATATCTGTAGCAGTCAGTTCTGCTATAGAGCTCGTTGGTTATTTTTCTTGTGACAGATTGATTGATTATATTAACCACCCACCTCGAATAGCTTTGATAAATGTGGGAGGGTTGTTTTTGTATAATTATTTGTTTGTAAGAATTATTAATAAATTGTATTGTAATGTAATTGTATTGTATTAATGCTTCAATTCGGTTAGTTAATATTTAAGAGAGCTATAAGACAGTAAAGCACACACAATGTTGTGGGAGGAGGGTTGTTGGGGAGAAATGCTCCAAATATATACTTTTAACTGGTCAAAGTGTCACCCCACAGACTCACGGTTACTCTAAGTAATGCCCTCGGGGGGTCTGGGTCCCCATGTTGGGCTGTCCTCAGGGGGTCTGGGTCCCCATGTTGGACTCTAGTGTAATCAATGCCCTCAGGGGCTTTTGGTCCCCATGTTGGGCAATCCTCAAGGGGTTTGGGTCCCCATGTTGGACTCTAGTGTAATTACTGCCTTCAGGGGGTTTGGGTCCCCATGTTGGGCAGTCCTCAGGGGGTTTGGGTCCCCATGTTGGACTCTAATGCAATTAATGCCCTCAGGGGGTCTGGGTCCCCATGTTGGGCATGATATACTTCAATCTAACATTCCTAATGTATGGTACATCGATTTGTGAGTTGATGGGATGAGGGTGACCTATGGGAGCACTCCATCCTCACAAATGAGCAGCATGCACATTCCCCATAGACGAACTCCCTCCCCCTGAAAATTGGACCAGAGATTAAATTTTTTGAGATGAATTTTTAAATATTGGCGAGTGTGGCTGAGACATTCAACAGTGTTGATGAAGGAAGTTGTATATATCGTTCATAACAATCTGAGGACCACTGACCCAAAGTTTTTATGAGCCAGGAAGGTAACTTCGCTGTGACTGCCGTAGTTGCAGCACCGATTCTGTAGCTATGACCGGCAAAGTTTGAAGCGTTGAATCCAGATTGATCTGTTTTGTAAGTGGTTTACCCGCAGAATTTACAAACAGAGGCCCTGATTTTGCCTGCCTTCTGGCTAAATACTGTTTCATGGCCAACACTGGGCAGAGAGGTGTGTGTGTTCCTCCAATACTTATGGTATGTCCCACCCGAAAGGGGTCAGTTTTGGATTCTTTTATCCGTATGGACATAGCAGTGGTTGGTTGCAGGTCGTTGGAAAAAACAACGTCTTCAGGTATGAGGTGCGAATCTGATTTGAATTTTGAGTTACAAGTTAACTCTCCAAGCCGCAGAAAGCCAAAAAATGCCAATGTTATGGCAGCCCAAAACATAATTGAGTCAAAATGTGTTATTGCTAGGTATCGCTAGCATCATGTGAAAAAGTTTTAAATGATGGATTGTTATTGGAAGGCGCACTCTTTTCTCATCACCTTGGGAACGTTTTATACCCCGAAGAACCAGCTGGAGACGTGACATCTTTTGACAATCCAATGGAAAACCATTTTGTATGGGAAAATGACGAACTGCTGCAAGATAGTTTTTTATGGATGTGTGTTTGATGGTTTTGGCTAAATAGGCTAAAAATTGCACGAGTGTTTCTTCACTTGCTGGTAGAAGGTGCTTTCCTTCATGGGGTCGATATAATTTTACAAAAGCAATAAACCGTTTCTCACCAGCACTGTATGTCTGTTTGGTTGAGGCGGCCACAGACAAATCAATGTAATATTCTATGTCATTCTTTAGATTTTCAACGAAAAGGACTGGAATTTTTTGAGGGTTGACATCTGCTTGAGGCATTAGGAGTCGAAACCTTTGAAACTGGAAACGAGAAAGGGAATCAGCAATCTCATTATACTTTCCCGGTATGTGCTTGGCCCGAAGGTATATATTGTACTTTAAGGTCAACAGTGTGAGATGACGGAGAAGATCCATTACCCGGGAAATTCGTGATCGTTTGGAATTAATAATGTTGACAACTGATTCATTATCACAGTTCAGGATTATCCGTTTGTTTTGAAGGGCTTCCCCCCATATGTGACATGCAACTACTATGGCAAACAATTCTTGCCAAGCAATACTAATCTCGGGCTGTCCTAATTGTTGATGGGGTTCTCATTTTCCTTGAAATCATTTCCCCCCGAAAATCCCCCCGTAGCCCAACACCCCCGATGCATCAGTGTGGAGCTGAAGGCATTCAGAGTTTTCCCATGCAGAAGACAAGAAAAAACTGGCACCATTCCAGTTAACGATAAACTGTTTCCACATCTCAAGATCCTTAAAAGAGCCTGCACTAAGCTTTATGTGGTGGTGGGGCTGTCTTATATTTCTTGTCAATTCAATCATTCTTTGTAAATAAGGGCGACCCGGTGGGATAACCTTGCATGCAAAATTTAAGGTACCTATAAGTGACTGAAGTTCTTTCAAAGCACATGACCACCTTTTTTGGAATGTGTTGAAAACTGCTCAGAGACGTTCAATTTTGTCATCCGGCAGCCGTGCTTCCATTCGAATGCTGTCCAGGATAATACCCATAAACTCTAACACAGTTGCAGGACCTTGTGTCTTGCCCGGGGCTACTGGGATGTTAAGGTTCTTAAATGTAAGCATCATGGCAGTTAGACTTTGTTGGCAAGTGCTATAATGTGGGGGCAGTTGGGATGGTGGCTCCATGATAACAAAATCATCCAAAATATGACATACAAACGAAATCATGCACTTATTTTGTTAGATCCATTCAATAGCATCTGAAAGTTGCATCTGAAGGTTGAACAGATATGGAGCACTTCGTAGGCCGAAAGGTAAAACTTTGTCGTAAGAGTATTTCCCTTCCCAATACATCCTGTGAAGCTCATTGTCGTCCGGGTGCACAGGAATGAGACGAAAGACGGATTCAATGTCAGTTTTAGCCAGAAAACAGCCGTGGCCGAAATGCTTAATACCTTCAATCGTATTGTTAATTGTCACATAATGGAGACTAAGATCTTCCTTTGGAATTGATGCATTAATACTTGTTGCACCTGATTTTGGAAAAGAAAGATGGAAAATTGTTCGAATTCTTTTTTGGTACCAGGCCAATAGGAGAGACTTGGAAATTAGAAAAAGGTGGGGTCTTGAACGGACCAGCCACACGGCCAAGGGAGATCTCATGTTCCAAATTTGATGTTACAATATTTGGATGGGTAAGGGCAGTGGGCAAATTTTTGGAAAATCTAGGTGCCCTTTGCCCTTCAAAACCTATTCGGGCTCCATCCTTTAAATTTGAACATAATTGTGAAACAAGCGTTGGGTCGGGATGTCCCGCTAGAGAATCTTCTAAATTAGCTACAAAAATAGGTGTTAGGGATCTAACTACATTACTATTGTTTGTCTTGATTGGAATGGCGCTGGCTGCTGGATGAATGGACCTTTCCTTGTTTTCTATATGGTTGGAGACTTTCGTTCTCTGTACAGTAAAGTCCGGCATGTTCCCCGTCACAGCGATTGCAGATATGTCAGTACCTGCACTGCGCTTGTTTGCAAGCGCCACTCCTATTGAAATCTTGGCAAATGCCCCCTTGGTCGGTCCCGGGGTGGCATAGTGTTGGGGTCTTTTATGGAAAAGAGGGTATTCCTCTCTAAGACTGGCTGGTGGTACTGTAAAGGTCATCAACCATAATTGCTGATCTATTTCGGACCAATTCTATTTCAGAACCATCCTCAGAGATAGGAAAACTAGTTTCATATTAATCTGACACTGCAATCGAGCAACGAAAAATTCGTTGGCTCGAGCGGGATTTGAACTCGCATCTTCGGGTATCTAGACCGCCGCTCTACCTATTG